TGTGCTCTTGGGAGCTGCTCAAGGATGGTCTTCCCCTTGACAATGGAGCGTGGTGTGTGGCTCAATGGGTCACATCACACCAGTTCAGGTCACATACTCATTTGGGATGAGTCTGATATTTGGTCTCGACCAGTGCCCAGTAGCAGATCTGAAGCTGTTACTGAAATGAATAATTATTTACAGAAGAGCATATATGTTTGCTCCAAATCCCTTGGAGTCTATGCTGTAACTCTCATACTGGGCCCTGCCAGAATTTACAAGAGTGTGATCTGTCATGGATACCTTGAGTACCACTAGATCTTTGGGCTAACTGATAAATGCGTCAGAGCACCTTGCTCGAATGTGGTCTATATCATCTCTAAAAGTCAAAGAAAGCTACCAGTGCAGGACACTCCAGTCCAGACCTCACACCACCAGCTTAGCTAAGCAACTGTTGGAGCCATTCCCAGCTGTTGGAGCTAACACACTGAATCCAGAATCTCTGGTAAGTCAACTTATTGATAAATTCAGCCTGATCCAATGTTATGCTCTGGGTTGACACCATTAGAATCCATTCCCCATATATTCCCTAGGTTTCTGCTGATAAAAATGGATTAATATTCTATATTTCTTTTGGCATGTGAACATCTCCTCCCAAATCAGGCTTTGCAGTTGTTTCCCTGGGGCATGCTGGCATCTGACTCAAATTATGGACTGGAGGTAGTGAGGGGCAGTTCTTCAGGTCGGCATTCCCTCACCAGGTACCCACCTCAAGAGAGGGGTTTGCATTAACAGGACTTCAAGCAAACAAAGACTAATCTCCTCAGACAGGCAGGAGGCCACCAGCTATTTCCATTGACGAAGAGGCTCTGAGGGATTGGAGGTTAAAGGTTCTCAGATTTCTTGTATTATCCCAACTGTCCCCATTTTAATTCTCAGGGCCCCACTCTTCCCAATCAATAGCCTAACTTCACACAGAAGACCTGGTGAAGCTGTGAATTCAGTTTATGTTGTAATTATGCATCAGGTAGTATCAAAGGTGGGTCTGACCTTCAGCCCTATCAGCCCTGAGGCTACAAAAAGTAAGAGAGTCTGTTCCCAGCATCATCGAAACTGGTTCTGTGTTTGAAATCATGCTTCATCTGAGAGTTAAAAGCTGAGCCTTTAATTTTCATTCTGAAATCTCTCCAATGCAATCAGAAGCAGCTAGCTCAACCCACAAGCTTTGTGGTCACTATTCCCACCATGATGGTCACTTGCAGCAGCCTTGCCTTCAGTGGACACTCCCTCTAGGCAGTGGCAGA